GTAAACATTACAATAGGTAATATTAAGTAATTTATTGCGGTCCATTGCGTCAAAAACGCTATATATATTATCATTAATGCTCGAAACTCAAACCAAACACAATGCGTCGATTGCAGCTTAAAAATTTGTTGCTGATCTGTGGATATAAGATTCGTTCGTTGTATGGGTGTATGATGTTCTGTGAAGTTTTTCCTTCGATTTTTGCTGCATAATAATATAGCTTTACAACTATAGCTGCACGTGTATTATACACGTGACGGGATTACCGCTTTACAGTGAGAGAATAAGGTATCCATCCAGGTATCCAATCAAAGCAACGTACTTAGCTTTAATATATTAAATACAGTATGGTGAAAACTGTACATACAACAAATCAATTCAGCCTGAAACTTTTGATGCGTAGTGTGTTTATTTTATCATGATTTATAATTTACAGTTGAGAATGAATTTACAACAATATTGTTTGTAAATCATCATCTTATCTTATGCATCTTAAAACTGCTGAGTTTTCCATTAGACACTATATTAAGACACAACAACCCCCTTGACTATCAAGATGCCTAATAGAAGGTGCCTCATAGGATATTTCATCTTTGATTGAAATTCAAAGTAGCAAATTGCATGCCGCAAACGCACGATGTCGGTCATAAAATAAAAAAGTTTCACAAGAAGAGCAAACCATGTTTTGAATTAATTGAACACTGTACACACGTCGCGAATATTTATACCATCAAAGAAACTTTTCGTCATACTAATATGAATCAAAAGGATATCGATTTGTACATTGTCACATTTCAAATTCGACATCACAATCGCAATCCTTAAACTTACAAATTCCATTTCACTTTCTGCCCTTCTAATGTAGTATCATATGGTTATGTTACAACATTTTAAATTTACAATTAACTTATGAGTATACTGGTCTTTTCTATATAAAAATAATAGCAAATAAGCATATAAATTATAGACGTTCGCTATGGTAGAGCCTGCGCGTTGCCCTTTTAGCCTGACCTCATCCACTACTCCGTAAAGCCCAAAAGTGTTATTTAAATGTGGTTTTCTGTAAGGTGTAGATTACTTCTCCAGACAGGCTCTCCAATTCAAACAGAAATTCCGCTATACTCTACATCTTTTAAATCTTAGTGTTAAAGTACATACTCGGTATGACTTACAAAGAAAAGAACAGGGTATATTTAATGTTATTTTTATTGTTACATTTATTAATCTGCTTTTTTACTCAGTAGTCACTGTGTAAAAATCATTATAATGTATCGCGAACACACGGCAGACAGTTGCTGCATATTTTCAAACAAAAGGGCTTGGCTATAAGCTTGACTTTGCATATCGAACTTTGAGTGGAAATTACTAGCTTGTGACATTATTCGTGCCCTAATAGAAAGATGGTCGTCTATGGCGACTTCTGCTGAAACAAAGCAACATGTCCTGCATCTATATCAAATAAACTAAAACATATTTTGAGTTTTGTGATTATAATGCCACTTATCATGTGAGAGTTTCTAATTATTAATAAAGAAGACATATGAGTCGAGTTGTCCTCCTATCCTTATAAGCAATATGACTGGAAGCAATCGTTTGGCAAGGTGCCACGAGGATAGGAGTACAGCGCACGAGCGCAGGATCGTGACCGCCGCCGCCGCCGCCGCCGCGCCGACACCGGCCTCGGTGTTGCAACACAACATATTGTGCTCGAGTGGCTCGCACTAAATTCGCGATTGGGACACAGATCAGCGAAGTATTGAGCTCGCGCCATTGTTGTACCATCGGCCTCCGACCAAGCCGTCGGTTAGAAGGTTGAAGGAAAGAAAGATTTTCAATCTCTCACGCATACGTTTATAGGCGCCGCCAGATTATTTTCAGGAGGGTGCTTCTGCATCTACACAGACTATTAACCAATATTAGATATAGAATTATACAATTAAAGTACCTATGTGGATAAATGCAATTTCAAATATATCAAGTCAGATTTTTAATATATATTCTTTGTAAGTATATTTATTAGCTTAAATTTTTTATATATTTATCACAATATTTATATAAAAATATTTTTTGACTTGATATGTTTAATTAATTAGATTAGATTAAGTGGTCACCGTCGCCCATGGACATCAGCAATGCCGTTGAGATAGCCATGAGGCTGCCTTTTGTGGTACACTCTTTTTATGCCTCTCTTGAAGAGTACCATGTTATAATACTGAGGGAATTCCATGGAGAAACCATGGGCCAGAACAAAGTCATGAAAAGCTCTACCCAGGAAGTTAGTAGTGCGGGACCTCAACCAAATCCGATATTTTTATATGTCTCGTATAAGTATTTTATTACATAAATAAAACTAGTTTTTACGGGTTAATGCACGAAAACTTTATTTATTTATTGACGTTTCGTAGTCTTTACAGGCTACGTCGTCAGAATAAAACTTTTATTTAATTTGTCGAGCTACCTTCGAAAGACTTTTATTGAGCGTTTGAGCGTCAAACGCTCAATAAATGTCTAAATAGACTACGAAACGTCAATAAATAAATAAAGTTTTCGTGCATTAACCTGTAAAAACTAGTTTTATTGAATGAGTGATGTGCGTGAAAACCTAAGAAACAAATATTTTATTACATAATTTCTTAAATTTTAAGATATAAATTTTTATATATTTTATTTCCATGGGGCTACCATTCCGTACAAGTTGGGTACAAAATATGTAATTTTTCTATGTACTTACTTTCCTGACAGGGGGGTGCATGGGGGTGCACCCCTGGGGCGGGGGTTGCCGGTGCCTATGCATAGGTTCTCTCGGAGTCGTAAGCGAGAGATTGCGGCAGCACCACCTGGAATAAAATTTAGTTATTTTTATTACTGTCGTTAAATGAAACTGTTTATATAATAGTCTTTTCTATAATTTTTTATTCGAGTTAAAGTACAATGACCGAGACCAATTTTTAACATCACTCGAGACTATTTCTCAAAGAGCTTATGCAATTGGTATGTTGTTACGCACCGCGTAATCATCTTAAAATGTAAATTAATACAACCGCGTTGCCGTGAAGGTACTAGCTATCCGTAATTGCCGTATTCGGCCGCGGAGGAAGTCAATTAACATCAACCCTGAAGGTGCACGATGCATCTCGCCATAAACCGATCGTGATGACGCGTCCGTTAGTCGTCTTTTTCTTTATTGATGAAGTGGGATCGCAATTATCCGTTTACGGTCGCACCAGTACGTTCACAGATAATATTATAGCATGCATGTCAAGGTTAGGCACATCACAATCATCACATAGTACGCACTGCGTGATGCCACTCCGCTTGACGACCGCTCGTTTCCGGGTACACGACATTATTCATGCGAAGTTTTTACCTCGTCTAAGCTCGGCACATCCTTAATCGTGTGTTTTTTGATGCTGCATCAAATATTTACTCACACATTAAACTGGCATCGCTAGAAGAATTAGCCAATACTTAATCTTAGCCGAAAGAAATGGACATATAAAAACGGTTATATTGCTGGTGTCTGTTATTGGTGGTAGAATGTAATGTGGCACAGTTTTGCGGTTATTAGGTCGCCGCATTTCAGCTACACGTCGCCCGGGGCGGCACCGGCGCCGATGCAGGGCGGCCGACACACTGCTCTTGCGTAATGCTCGTTGACCAACGTGTGACTGGCCTAAGTTAAACCGAACATCTCGAAAACAATCGCACCGTTAGTTTTGCCACTAGTGACATCACAGTAAATATTTGTAAGTTATTATCAGTGTATCCGTATGAAGGAGTTTGCACGACACATACGTTATAGAGGAATGAGTCGAATAAAGATGTGCAATATGTTCATCGTACAGAAAAGGAAGTTCGTTATATTACTCAACGTGGTTGAGCGCGGCAAGCACGTTTTGTATTTTGTTCCATCCTTTCAGTCACACGCACACGTGGGAGATTGTATTTAAAGTGGTGTTACACATTGCACCCTACCATTTATGGTGTTATTTGTAATACCGAAACAGTGTCACTGTGTAACGAATAGCAAACACTTCTGGAAAGTATTACCATAAATCATTGCCAAAGTTTTTCTACAAATAATATTATGATAAAGGAAAAAGTTTATAGTTTTTAGGTCTACTAATGCTCTGCAAGACTGCCTTAACAGTCATGACGTGACGTTATATCATCGAAAAAATTATGTCAACAACAATAAATTATTCTTAGTTGTGTAAAACAGGTAGTTAAAAACTAAATATTTACGATCGAATATCGAAATGGTATTAGCGACTCTTGTAGTACCGGACTGCACGGAGTCTGCAACATAAGTATTAGCGTCCTGATGCTGTTCACACATGCTGCCTATAACTTTGTTATTTTCGCTTTTAAATGGGCAGCTACGGAACCACGCTTTTTTGGCCAAAAGTTTGCATATGTATATAGATATTGGAAAAATAAAACAAGAACATTATCTGTCTTTAATGGATGCAGGTGCAACATTCTTTAAATATACAGTGAGCTTCCAAATGCAAAGCACGGCTAATGTTATAAAAACTCGTTTGTTTAGAGGGAGTAACATTAAACAAACGCACGGATACTTATATGATTTAATTTTCAAGCTACAGTTTGGGCTAGCGGTTAGTTAGCCTAACTGCAAATCCAGCGGCAAATACTTGTATGATGAACACGTGCATTTTCCTAGCAGTCATTGATATTATTGCAGGGCGGGATGTAGAGGTGTGGTGGCCCTCGGGCAACTAAGGAGTGGAGGCCCAGTGGCTTACGATTTGGACCCTTTGGTTCGTGATCTGTCGAAAATTCTTTTTTTAATCTCTGTTGCCTGTCACTATCGCGCCTGTCCTACCTTAAATTCAGGCCTGTGTTTGTGTGTTTAAGTATGTTCATCGTACAGAATGAACGACGGACGTTATCCAACATCCATACTGGTTTGTTTGGGGCTAGATGAAAGTGTCCACCATGTATTTATTTTTCCTAATTATTAATTTTTGTTTGCACAGATGCACATGTGGTTGGTGGTAGCGTGCGCAGCGCTGCTGGCGACGTTGGCCGCGGCACAAAAGCCTGGCAGATTCCTCTCGCTGCCCGTGCCCCAAAAATGTGCTAACAGTGAGTACTATCGAGGATAAGCTTCTGATTTTCATAACGGAATAATAAATACTGAATAATTTTTGTCAATCCCGTAATGCGTCGCTGAACAATACCTTTTTGTCTTATTCCAACTCTTTCTCTGTTTATCAATACACATTTGAATTCAACATTTGATATATGTTTGAAGCCTTCAGTTAAGTGTGACATTTGCAAATATATAGCAAGTCACTAATTTAAAAAAAATAACCAACTGAATAATGTAAAATTATAATTGAAAGAAAGTTGCTTTTATTTCTACCTTTTTCTTTTATTATACACTGACATTTATAAAATGAATTATTATGATAATATATCAGGTATATATGTAAATCGGAAATGAGCTCATAAATCTGAATTGAATAAAGCTAACATAACTCTTGTGGATATTCTGAGAATGTGACATTTTGCAATCTGTTTTAGTTCTGTATTTTTTATTATCTTTATTAGCAGCGCAATAAGCTAAAGCTTATTAATATCCCATTATAAATATTATTTTTTTATTATTTACTCCTTTAATCTACTCAATCGGCATTACAAGAATGATTACAAAAGTTAACTTGGATAAATCCAAATAAGTATGCAGCTGATGCATTGGGTAATTTGAACATTTTTTTTATCACATTTTTGTCAGTTTTATTTATTATATATTTTATCAACTTTTTGTGTGTGTGTGTAATAGAAATAACAAAACATTTTGAAATTTAAATAGTTTTTCATAATTGAAGGCCATCAACCTTCCGTCTACCTGATCTGGTAAAAGCCGTTCGTTCACTCACCTGCCGCATAAGCAATGTCGGACCTAAAATGCCTTTTTGATTTTTAGTAGGCGAACAGGGACAATTACCTGGTTCGTCCCTGCGGCAGGGTGTCAGGTATGTGACACCCTCCAAGTTTCCTAAATCGGCCTTGTCGCCCTGCTAGATCGTCACTTGGGTAATGGCAGCGGCAGTTGTGTGAGTAACTGCTTTTACCAACTTAGGGATTTCCGTTAAACTAGATGAGCTGGGGTTTTAAGGGCTTAATTACTTAATTTTAAATGCATACTAGGTAGCTCTCTTCTTATTGAAATAACATTTTACGGCACGAAAATTATCTACTCGGTAAACTTTTTTTCACGTTTTTTATAACGTAAACTGAAAGTGAACTTAAATATAAAAAACAAGTATGTCAATGGCTGATATACATTGATTTATGTGTCAGTGCCGCACAAGTCAAGCAACTGGCGCCGCTCGGTTGAGGTCCAGTCAAGGGTTCGGTCCAGGTACTGTGTCAATGTAAATGTGGTACAAGATCCGTGAGGACGATCAATTTACTCCATTTATAATAACAACTTGTTAAACACGATCCCGAGATTAATATTTATGAATTGGAATTAACATTAATATAGCTTTTTTTACAAACGCAGAATTTATTAACGCTATATATATATATAAATAGATGGATTTTTTTTACAAAGTGAAACGAGTTTAGTGGTATGATTTTGGATTCAGTTGATAACTTTATTATGTGTTGGGTTCTTAGTGATGTAATAAATATATTGAAGAATAATGTCATTTGGTAGAGGTATTCTTTATAATTGTATTCATTTATATCTGTACTAATATTATAAATAGGAAAGATTTGATTGTTTATTCGTTTGTATTAAATAGGCTCCGAAACTGCTGGACCGATTTAAAAATTCTTACACATTTCGAATCCTAAATTATCCATGATGAACATAGGCTGTAGACTATTTAAAAAAAGTTAAGGTTCCGTATGAAAAAATCGATAATGTAACCCTGGATGTGAAAAAAATACCAAAAAATAACCTTATATTATATCCTTATATCGCTTACGCTGCGGAAATCATTGACAATAGAGCAAAGTGATGTACTAAAGTTTTATATAACGTATAAATATCTACAACAAATCCGCAATATTATATGTCTAACTGTCATAGTTATGTCACAACTAAAGGTCCTCTGCGGTTTAATTCGCGTTAATTTGAGGAAAAAGGTTATAGTGAGCCCAACTTTAATGATGAGCATAATAATATGCTATTGCGGCCTTTTTTATTGTTTGCCTTTGTCATAAGCCTATTTCAAGTCTAACGAATAATTTGAATTCAATTTGTACAATTTGACCTATAGGTGACAAAATATTAAAAAAAACCCTTTGTAGAATTCTAATTTTAAAACTTCACTCTGTTTTTTTAATGACAAAACCAAATATTTTATAAATAAAAAGTTAAAACTGTTAAAAATTTAACTACAATAATCAAATTATAAAGACTTTAACACATATCCGTCACCAAATAGATAAATATATGTAGGTATGTAGGTACTCCATAGTGTAGGAATCTTTTAGGCAAATTTTCCTTATTTGAAGAAACGATTAGCAAAATTTATCTTGCGTTGGTGTCTCATTTGATCGAAGATTGTGAATAAAAAATGCATTATTCTACCTCTAATCTTTATGTATCTACGAATTTAGGAAGATAATGTTTTAAATTAAAGAAAACATTGAATATGTTATTGGTTAAGTATTTAAATATCATTTCTTAATTAAATATCTTGAATCTGTAAAAAACAAATAAGTACTTATTAAGATATGTATGAGTACTCATAGGTATCTAGCACATTTACTTTAATCGATGCTAATCAGCGTCCACATATATACGTAGATAACTACTGACAATAAGCTTTTTGCTTGCTAACCAAACAATTCGTCGTCTTTACAAACGAACCCTTTATGAGTTTTTATTAATTCACTAATTTAGCATCAAACGACCTCTTTACATATATATGCTTATTTGTATTGTTTTAATTATTTACTGTCATCTTTTTATATCTTATTTATAGAACCTGTAGGTAATAAAATAACATAGTACACCTGTAGGTAGTAACATATTATATACGCCATAACACCTATTCGCTTAACTCATCGTTTGTAAATAGTACATATGGGAATTTTTACGAGGTATATTCTAGTAAATCTTGAGACTTAGATCTTGCAAAAGAAATAATATTTTTTTTTAAATAAACCACGCACCTTATTCCATGACTCCGCGGGAATTCTGGCACCCAGTTGGTGATTGAAGCAAATGTCTTCGCCGCCGATGCAAGGCCAAACGGTAAACATGCCATCTGCAGCAGTTGGTGCTGATGAAGATCCCGATGATTGTTGAGTCTCAGTAATCTGCGATGTTGTTAAGCAATTGGCACGTGAAAGTACGCTTGGCTTAGGTCTAATATCGCCAGCCAGTCCTGATCCTGCAGAAAACCCGGTACACGGAAATGATTAAACAGTCGAAATGGTTTGCCAGTACGAACTGATTTAACCTCCGAGGTTGAAGAACGGTCGAATGGTTCTGTCCGACTTGGTAACTAGAACGAAAGTTGACAAGTAGCTGGGAGTCACTTCCGCTTCTTCTAAGACATCTGCTTCTTATATGGATTGAATCCGTGCAGACATCTGGTAAGGCGTTTTGGTTCTGTAAGATTTCGTAACTGTTAAGCTTGGAAATATTAGTGGCGGCCTCAGTATGAAAGGTATGCGAACACCGTTTAAGAGCTGATCAAGTTCTATAATTATGTTACGTTCATAGTGATTTTTCGAGTCTTCGCAGCGTGCGCGCTTATGACATAATATGCATAGGTATATCTGCTCTTAAATAATATCATTGACAATATTAAAACATTTAACTTATGAAAAAATCTACTTTGTGTGCCATGTCAGGATGAATTTGAACAAGCTTCTCTCGCTATCAGGGCAAATGCAATTCTTAATTTTCTTTAAATTAATAACGATGTTTCCATGAATTTTTATTAAAGATAGGTACATAGTTACATTTCTTTTAAGTTGGAGAAAATTACAGTCAAACTACATTCTATTCTTTAACAAGTCGAAGTACGACATGCTGTAAGTAGGTAATTTCAGCCGGTAAAATAGGCGTGGGTAAAATGCAACACGTATATGCTTCGTTCTTCTCCAAACAAAAAAAGAAAATATGATAATAAAGTAAAGACTTAGAAGAAGTACGACATGGTGTAAGTAGGTAATTTCAGCCGGTAAAATAGGCGTGCGTTAAATGCAATACGTATATATGCTTCGTTCTTCTCCAAACAAAAAAGAAAATATGATTAAAAGTAAAGACTTAGAAGTAAATACTTAGAAGAAGAAAATGCTAAGAATGTAACACAAGTAAAGGAATAAGTTATTGTAAAAAATGGAACGATCTTAAAATAAGTGATTTAAATAATGGGAAACTCTTTGAAATACGATTCCCATGATTTATTTACATTCTGACCTTCAAATATGTTAGGAACCCTCTATATATAACACATTTAAAAAGTATTTAACTATCTATCGTTAGAGGTAGGCATCCGAAATCCGAATTGTACAAGATGGCGCCAAAAACTTCGTTAACAGAATAATGATTTAGAAGGAGAACGTGTCATAGGTCGTTGGCCGGCAAGGTCACGGGCGCGGAGGACGAGTGCCTCCCTGCGTCCCGCCCTCCTCTCGCCCAGGGAAAGTGCTTTTTAGATGTTCGTGACGCAACTGAACGTCTGCTGTTACAACTACTTACTTGCGGTTTTTCCGCAACAATGTTGTACATTGCTCCGACTACCACATTTTTGCAGATAAATTAAACGTTTGAAGAGAATTTTGCTCTAAACTCATTAAAATTATGAACATCTCGTTTTTTATTTTACTCTTTACAATTTTATCATGAAATATATTAATACCTTAAAAAAGTATGTAAGTAAAAGTCTTTCACCGACTGGTTGAAAATATATTAAAATAATGTAATAGGTTAAGTAAGGATGTCAGTTTGGGATGAGTAAGGAAAAGGTGTGAGATGTCATAGGATGAATACGGAACAACCCAAATGAACTTTATTATCTCGAGCTCTTTGCCGTTAGAGAAGGCATATTTAAAAATTGGTTCCGGCTCCACCTGCTGTTAGCACACTCAACGGCTCATCAGATTATGCT